CTCTGATTCCTTTGGCAGTTTAATTTTCTTAGTCATTACCTCGTTCACCTGGAAATACAGCCGACACATTAGCAGACATATAAGACTTCAGAGGGGATACATGAATGGACAAAGAATAAGAGCTACAGTAAAAGTAGCCATCAAGCCTATAGCATACTATAGGATTTGAACACAGAAACTTCGAGTCTGTTCTGTTTGACAGCTGACACACGAATAGTTGAAACTGTGCATCATCATCACGTAGCTTGAGGAAGTTACCTCAAACTCCACACAACTGACTGCAAGTATCCTTGAATAAAGCACAGCATTTAACTCAGAACCACTTGAAGTAAATGGGAAACCTCAGAAATGTCCAAAATCAGTAACAAAAAATAAAGTATAAGGATCAAGTGAAATGTATTCGCAGGTGAGAGCTTCTACTTGTTCTAATTATTTCAAATGAAGTCATAGAAGTCACTGGCTAAAATGGAACAAACAACAAAACACAAAAGAAAACAACCAACAGACAAGCAGATTAATTCTTTAAATTTATACAGACACACACATATGTAGGAGTCAAAAGACTGAACAAATTAAAGAGAACTCTTAGCATGGACTGATTGGGTTCTGATCACACGAAACATCCATATAACTAACTAAGTATAGCCTTCTGTGGTAGAAAGATTGAAGGCCATCAACATTTACAGTTTCCTGGGACTGACTTCATACAGAACTGGTATTTCTTGCACTAATTCTGCATCCATTATGCAGAATGATGAAAATCTCCTTGAATGAAAATTATCCTTACAAGGAATTCATTAAGAGCTGCAATCTGTAGTGTATGTTCCTTTACATAAGAAAAGGGTACTACATATACTGCCAGCTGAGTTACTGAATGTGTTATTGAATGCCTCTGACTCCTTTGCAGTGGAAACTGACAACAGTTACTAAAGTGTGCTTTTTTTCAAGAAGCAGATATTCCTAAATTCTCAAAGCTGCTATGCTTGTAGATGTGGTTATTTAAAAACACCTTCAAAACAGTCACCTTTCACCACATCACATGGCAAGTTTGGTTAGTTTAATATCTCTAAAAATAAACATCCACAGAGCACTACTCCCATTTGGTGATCACTCAGACTAGCTTTCTGGCCACAGTGTAGCTATTTAAAACAAGAACATGAAGCAAGTGGTAGTAAAGTTTTTACCTTCTGCCATATCAAGACAGTTCCTTTTCTATACATCAAAGGTTCATTGTTGTAGTTGATGTTGAATTCAGAAAATAAAATTTCATTCTTATCTCCAGCCAAAGTTCCCTACAAGAAAATGAAAGCAAGTACTCTTATAGAAAAAGACAGAAACAAACCAGCAAGGTTACAAGCCAACTGAATCTGCAGAGCAGAAGATGGGTAAGTACAGGAATAATGGCACTTAACGAGGTTTTTCATCTTTGAATTACAAGGTGTTTTTCCCCAACACAGGAGTTATGTTCACCTGCTAAAGGGGGATATAAAAAACAGAGGGTTTTTTCAAGTCCATCTTACGTTTTCAAGATAAATAGAAAGTCAACAGAAACCAAGAGAAAAACTGAAATGATCACCTGAAATCTGCACAATGAGACAATAATAGAAGAGGGATTGGGAGCCCGTACTAATTGAATCCTCTCATTTCATTTCTTGCTTACAGACACCAATGTTTACATGATGTTTTCAAAATTTCTGAACTCACTAAATAAGAAATTAAAATACTGGTAAATTTCCAGTTAAAATGTATTATTTGCTGATCAATATTATCATCTTTACAATTCAAGAAGTTGTTGAATCTGCACCCACGAATTATTATAGTAGGAACAGAAAAGTCAGCCAGGGCTGCTGAGCAGGCAAGGAACAACTTGGCAGACCAGATGATTTTGTTTGTACCCAGAACATAATCTTGAGAGATTCTTACCTGGAGTCTGTCCTGTGCTTGCACTGGTGTCAAACCACTCCGCTGCACAAGCATCCAAAACACTGTGTTATAAAGGTTATTGATATGGCCTACAGAAGGAAAAAAAAGAGTATATTTACCATATCTGACTGAATACTCAAAAAAATAAAGAGCAATTTAATTCTCAGAGTCACAACAAAAAACTTCAGAGAATAAATAATATCATTTGGTAGAAAAGATACAGTCTTTGTGATCCATTTTTAAATGCACTGCATACTGCGATAATTAGAAGACAGATTAATTTTACATCTGAAAAGGAAGAGCAGGGGGAGAAGGGAGTTTTTTGTATGACCTTAGTTACCTCAGTTTGAACAGCAAGGGCTACCTACATGTTAATGGAGACCCAGAATGAAACCAAACACTCTCTTTCAGTGTGGTATATGCAGCCCTTTTAACCTCTACCGCTTTCCTGCATTTCAGAACATTTTCATTTAAGATTACTTTGGTTAAAGAAACCCAAGAATATGAAACAATCACAACCAAATTCTATTAATATTTCCTGTGCTGAATTCACACCCAGCATGCAGCAAATTCAGTCATCATCTAAATATTCAGAATTCTAGCTGACACGCATCCAGACAAATCCCACTACAATACAAACACTTCCTATTTAAAAAAATACCACCCCACCTGCTGTTCCTTAACTGACAAGTTCTGTATACAAACACAATGGCAATAAGGACATTTCTAGTCAGAGAGGATGAGAACTCAACTGTTCCATTTTCTGGAAATGCTTACAATCTGCTTGTCTCCAGCTGAGGTAGTCCTTTAAGTTTTGGTTGCTGGGATACAGCACAATTCGTCCATCAAATCCCGGTGGGTACAGAAGTTGCTGGTCCTTAAAGTAATCCTTCCAATAGAAAACGTAACTTGAGGCAAACTGGGAGACCACGTGAGTCATGAACTTACTTGTAAACACAAAACAAAGGGAAAGGAAAGGCATACATCAATATGACAATAGGCACTATAACCACGATGTATCAATAGCAGTAATTCTGGTGGACATTATGACATTATTTCTTATATAACAGTCCAACAGTTCAATGGCATAATCTTTTATAAATCAAGTACATCAGTTTGGAAAGCAAAACACCTTGCTAAAGGAAGCCCTGTTTTACCAAAACTACCTAAAGCTCCACATCACTAAACGCTACAGAAACACTGCTGGTAGAATTCTCACTAAGAACCAGAACTAGCTGTAGTGTGTATCTCCAAATACAGCCCAGCCTGTAGCCTCTGTGTACAGAAAAGGCAAACCTAGAGATGAGGGCCAAGGCACAGGCTTAGACACAAGCTCACTTTCATACCAAAGCAGGTGTTACCTTGCTCTTCTTTTAAACCATTTGCTCTTCCTTTTGAAAACAAAACTGTATTCATCGCTCTGTCCATAAGCAATAGCAATATCCTCCAACTCCTGCATCACTGTCTGGGCACACTTGGTCATCAGATGAAGAGCACGGTCATCATTTGGCTTTTTGAACTCATGTTGCTCAGCAAACCTTCAAGGAAAAAATGGTAGAATAAGAATCCTGTATAAGGTCGCTTGGAAATGTGAACTGATTCATTTTCATTGTATTTAGTTTTTACAAATATTGATTTACAATATTCAGCCAATACTAACAGAATTCCTTACAGGTGTGAAGAACAGTAACAAAAAGTCAGTTTTACATAAGAGCTGATCCAAAAGCAATGCCTCCTATGTTGGTCCATGATGTCAGAGGCAGATGTTGGTGGAATGGCAGCAGTGGCTGAACCATGCCACCAATACTGCGTTACATTTTGTTGCCATGTGACAGATGGCAGCAGAGGGGCAGTCTGACATGGAAGGGCACATGAAGCAAAGGTACAGAACAATATTCCTCCAGGTGGAAAAAAAGGCACCCACCGACATTCGTCACCTGCTGAATGTTTATGGAGGCCAAACTACTGAGTTTTAGCACCGTGACAGTGGCTCAGCTCTGCTGGTGCCGATTCAAACAAGTGTGGCATGCAGGCTCTTATTCATTGCTGGCAAAAATGCATAGTTCATGGTGGTGACTGCATTGAAAAATAGTGTTTTGTAGCTGAGAATTTTCGCTATTAAACAGTGCTGTTGTGCTCTTTTTATTTGTTGTAGTCAAAGAAATAAGTCAGAAGCATTGTTTACAAAGTAACCTGCATACATTGCAGAAAACCTTTTCCTCATCAAGTCTCACCCTAACCCATCATTCTTATTTCACTTGGATTCAGATAATGATAAATACCATTTCCTATAATGCCATTTTCTCCTAGGGCACCTCAGTCCCATCAAGACAACACTACCAATAAATACATCAAAACTTGGTAGCTTTACTGAAATCAGACTCGAGCAAATCAGAGATCAAAGCCCCAGCCACAAGATTAATCCTGAAGAAAGGTGAATGCTGACCCCAAGCACAAACACTCTCCCTCTACACAGGCTGCAATCCCCCCCTCCCTCCCCACAGGTACACCGTGTCCCTGTCACAGCCGCACTTGTTAAGCAGGACGTGACTCTTACAGCCAGACACCCTCCCCCATACCAGGTCCAGGCCGTGGCCGCGTTGCTGTAGCAACCACCCGGCAACAAGCTGCCCGCCCATTGGCTGCCCACCCGGCCTTCACCTGTGGAAATTGCGGCCGTCCAGCCGGACCACTATCCAGCAGTTGGGCAGACACGTGTCGTCCGTCTCAAAGTCCCGCACGTACTCGAACTTGCTTTTCGCCATGGAGAAGCGACCGCGCACACAGCCCGCCCCGCGACCCGCCGAGATGGCCGCCACTGCCGCCCGCAGGCAGCCCAGCATGGCCAGAGCGGAGGCGGAAGTGCAGCGCGGCACCCACAGAGACGGCGCAGCAGTGAGCCCTTCTAGGCGCCTAGGAGGACTTCTCTATGGATCTTGGATGCCGGTCTCCATGGCGACCGCATGGTGCGTTGGTGGGAGGGGCCGAGGGGAGCGTTGCGCTCTCGTTGGTGACTGCGGCGCGAGGGCGCTGCGAGCGTTGGGGACCAACCGCAGGCGGCAAACGGCAGCGGCGTCATGGAGCGGGGCGGGGGCGACTGCCACGGCCGGGATTCTGACCTCGATCTCTGCTCTCAGGGTCCCTCAGGCGGTCAGGAGGCCCAGGCGCCCCTCCAAGAGACGCGCGTTAAAGCCAAGGAGCTGCAGCAGGAGGATGGAGGCTTCCCCGCCCGTCTTGAGGGCAGCAAGGAAGCCGGAGGGGAGCTCAGGTGCTCCCCAGCTCCGTGGGGGGGAAAAGAGAAGGCAAAAGAGGATCGAGAAAAGCGCGGCGGAGAAGAGCAGGAAGACGTGGAGGTGGTGGAGATCAGAGGAGGCGTGAAGGAACCCCGTCCCGGAGCGAGGGCGGATGGGGACGAGGACGGTGCTGCAGTCAGGGCCTCGCGCGGGCTCGCACACGCCGGCGGTGATGGCGGTGGGGCGCAGGCCGGTGAGGGGCTGGGGGTCCTCCCTGAGGACCTGAAGATCCCCCTGGTGCTTCGCCCTTTGCCGCCTGGTGCCCGTATACAGGTCCAAGGCCCCCTGCTGCCAAAGCTGATCCAGGTGTCAAAGGGGCCCGTGAGCCAAGTGCCTCTTAAAATGCAGACCCTGCTGGAGCCTTCCGTAAAAATTGAAACTAAAAACGTTCCCCTCACAGTACTGCCCTCCGATTCAGGTATTATGTTAAGAAGCCAAGTTAGCAGGGTTTTCATAAGGGACACGCAGCTGACGGGTTATCGGTAGTGGAAAGACAGCGCTAGAGAGCTAGCCCTCTGGATACATTGTATTTTGTAAAACCATCTAATTCAGCCTAGAGTGTGAGGTACAGGAGCACTGAGTTCTCCATTGCCATATCGGAATCAATACAGTGCTTGCTCCCTGCCTCTACTGATCCCCTTTATAAATGTTTAGAACCACACTGAATTTTGATTGCAAGTTGCAGTTTATGTGTCTACTTGATTTTTAAAATGGAGAGTTCATACACCTCTCCAGGACAATTTGGGCATGTTAAGTGGTGAACATTTTGTAGTATCTGTGTTAGATGCTTAATTGTTCTGGAAAGAAAAGGGCTTTTAAAATTTATGGGTTTTTAGGCTTTTAAAATTCATGACTTTAAGTTCTAAAGATAAGAAGACCTTCTCCCTTTATTGATAGTATGGAACAGTTCATTTCTAAGCCTTTTGCTGAGGGATCAGCTGTGAGGGTTCTGGCTGTTCATTATGTCACCAGTTCAATCCAAACACAGTCTGTGTTTACAAAGATGTAAAGCTAGGTGTCATGTAACGGTCAGTTGATAAAACAGATTCCTCCAGCAAATGCCTGTCCATATCTGAGGGGAAAAAAACCCATCTAGGAACCCAGCACAGCAATAGCCTCAGCAGAGAAGCCAGAGGCTGCTCAGTAGTGGGACTGAAGTGCCATATCAGTGCTAGGCCTTGCCTGTGCATCGTTAGGGCTTTTGGATACACAGTTCTGGGGGAGGTGACAAATTTGCAGTGATATGGTCTATGCCATACTGAGTTCAATTCATAAACAAGTTACAGGAAACAGTCTAGCCAAGTGAAATCCAAACTCTCTTAGCAGTCACATGTGTTACATATTTTTAAAAAGAGAATAAACAACAAAAGCCATGCACATGATTCCTTATACAGTGGTTCGGTGGAAGTTAGTAGAGCCTTAATTATTTTTCTAAGAATTGCTCTCCGCATGTGCAATGAATTTTGTGTATTCTGGAGATGTAGAGATTCTATTGACTGTCACTGAAAAGCCTTTTGATGTAATCTGCACTGCGTCTATTGCCTGGAAGATGATCTTTCCTCATTTTGTTGCATAGGTATGCCAGATACTCCATTCAGCAAGGACAAAACTGGCCACGTAAAGCGTCCAATGAATGCATTTATGGTGTGGGCTAGGATTCACCGACCTGCCCTAGCTAAAGCCAACCCCAATGCCAATAATGCTGAAATCAGTGTTCAGCTGGGGTTGGAGTGGAGCAAACTGACTGAAGAGCAGAAACAGCCCTATTATGATGAAGCTCGGAAAATAAAACAAAGGCACAGAGAGGAATTTCCTGGTAAACGTATTGATTTACCTCAGTGTTTTAGTAGGGCAGGATTCACAGGAGAAAAAAAAATACAAACACAAAAAGGTTTTCTTTCATTAGGGCAAAGAGAAGAGTTAGAAAACATGACACAAATTTCAAGCACTCAGTCCTTCTATCAGCTTTCCAGTGCTTGTGAAAACATATTCATTTCTTAGCATTCAAAAATTATGTGCATCCTTTAGAGCATCTGATGTTTCCTACATTCCCAGACCACCACAGCTCTTCTGGCTGCATGCAGAGTTTATTGTGAACGTTGCTCCAAAATCCCTAACAAATTTGTTTATCCACAACACTGCAGTTCAGTTAATAGGATAGTAACAAAACATAAGAATTTGCAACACTCTTTTTGAAAGCTGTTAAGATATCAGGTGTCACAATCCTTTGTGATGTCATAATCCTGCTAACCCACAACTATGGCTAGACGAGACCTGATGTCACAAATAAGCAAAAGACGAAGTGCAGTGCTCTTTCTCTCTCTCTCCCCTGGGCTGCTCAGTGTAAATTCACAGTTTATTTAAAGTCTGCTAGTGTTTAGTTAATGTTATATGTCAGAGGCAAACATATTTTGTATTGCCAAACTCTATATGGGATTCCTATTGGATCATATTTTCCATTGTCTCTTGCATTATGTGAAATTTGTGGGGTTAAAGAAAAAATCAGAAAAGACCTACATTTTGAATACAGTCATGATTTCCTTCAGGACTGGAAAGCCAGCGTGTGTCATGTTCTCCTTAGCATGCTTTCTGGAGCTGTGCCGTGTCCCTCCCTACCCTGCTGTATTTCTTTGTCTCACTAACAGTTACAGTTCAGTAACACAAACACAGTGCCCAAACGTGTCCATTTTCTTTCCACCTCTGATAAAACACCCCATTTACTCGCTCACTGACAGAAAGGCAGTTTTGCTATTGAAGCATTTTGAGAATTCTTTGACATTTTTTCTGATTTTTTCTTGAGGTATAAGGTTAAAAAAAAAAAAAAAGAGAGAGAGAGAGGGAGAGAAAAGAAAAAGAAACAGAGACACCATCCTATAAATGGTATATCTGCATTTTTTCATCTCTGACAGGTTGGGTTTATCAACCACGACCAGGCAAGAGGAAGCGTTATCCACTGGCTGTCTCTGCTGTATTTTCCAGCACTACCCAGAATATCATCACTACAAATCCAGTTGCTGTTTATCCCTTTTCATCACCTGCATTTCCTGCTGCCATGCACAGTATTCAGAAAAATATTGGACATCCAGTCTGTGAGTTGCAGTAGTGAATGATTTTAAAAATCAGGAATTTACCTGTAGTAGCAGAAGTTATACCTCTAGTAGTGTAGGCATATTTAAAAAACAATGTCTCAGTCTGCATGGACACTTCTATTTCTTTCGATTCTCCTCTGCACTGCACCTCTGCCTCCTAGTCTCTACCTACTGCTTCCTCACACTTAGCTGCTCTTTAATTCTGTCCCCCTCTTCATCCTCCACAGATGCTGCTACTGTCTTTGTAGTTCCTAGTGCCTCCTGGGTCTCTCTGGCTGTCTGTTATTCAACACTTGCCTCCTGAAGAGCTATAATCATTTCATTTCCCTGTTCTGCCTCCCTCACCCATATCTTTGCACCGCAGATCTAACTGCACCAGCATTCAAACCTGCTCTATTAAGCCTGGAAAGTTTTATTAGCTAATTACCTCCATCCAATGTTAGTGTTCTTTGCTAGCGAAGCAGCACTATTCTAGGGCTCAGCAATTTGTGCTGCACACAAGGAGGCAGAATTGTCTGCAACGTGATTAGAAATGAAGTTAGAAGAGTGTTGGTAAGGTGTGATATTAAAAGTCACTAAATCTGGAAAAGGAATTTTTCTCTTGCATGTTTTCCATCAGTTACTTGGGTGTTTTGTGCACCTCTGGAATAGCTCTATGCATCGCTGTTACCAACTTGCATAGTCTAGAAATGCATTGAATGTTGCACCTAACCTGGAAAGATCTTCCTTTTTTATTAAATATTTCAACAGTGAAATGGAGTTTATTATGAGAACCCATGTGCAAATATAAATATCTAACCTGCAGTTTCTGATGTTTTGTGGTGAAAGAGCTCTGGCTCCATCAGTGCCCGGACAGTGGATCACAACAGCTTAGGTTCAGGCACTGGACTTCAGTGAGACAAGAAAACAAAATGCCTGTTAATGCTGTATGGTAATATTTGGAGACATAGAAGAGAGCACTTGGGGTACTTTGTTCTGGCAAAGTTTCTGAAGTAGATATGTGATCATTTCTCAAATTGCTCTATAAATTTGACAGAATTGTTTAGTTTCTTACCCCAGTGTATCTTATAATGTTGTAGTGTCCTCAGATGCTAGTGTGTTTAATTCCAGGGTTTACTATCCTATTGAGCTTGAAATCACTCTCAAACACAAATGGTAAAATCTGGAGGCATTTGGGATTCATTGACTCAGCATTTAGATGCTTAGACTAGCTAGTGGTTTTTGGGAACACTAATGTAAAGTGTTTTGGAATCTTACTGTGTAAAGGCAGTCTTTAACATGAAGTATAATTTGAAAGTGTACATCTGCAAAATGTTTTAAAGTGAAACTGGCCAGTGGAAGTGTTTGTAGGTGAAACAAATAAGAAAACATATCAAGAGCTGTTCTGTAATTGTTACTTCTGCTCTTCACTTCTGCTTTGGCACCATGCAGATTTATGAAGAATTTGGCTCATGCCATCTCAGCTATTAGACCTGGGATGTCTTCTGATCTTCAGGCACTAAATGGTAGTTCATTTTTCATTCACCCTTGTTTTTGTTCTGTTCTGTTGAAGGAAGATTAAACACATGTACTCCAAAACCATGCCAGACACACATAGGCCAATTGGCACGTGACTTGAGTTGCAGGGAAGCGATGCTATGAAATGTTTTGGAGCAAATGGTTCTGGCTCCAGATGTGGTTTGCTATGTTACTGTTTATGAAATCTCTTCCTTTACCCGTGTCTGATAAATAATTGCTCTCTTTCCTAAAGGTGAAGCTCCTTCTGCCAGCCGGCTGCCAGCTTCTTCTATTCAACGTCCAAGTCCAATTAATCTTTTCCGACCTGCTATTGCAAGCACCACTCCAGTAGCAGTTCCAGCTCCAACCCTGCCTCTGCGCCCTGTAATTGCATCACAGCACTTTGCTGAGCCTACTCAGAGAGAAGCTCGTGATGTATCATCTGGATCCTATTGCTTTCTGAAGAGATCAACACCAGTTGTTGTTGATCTCTCCAGTAGAAGTTCAAGTGCCACATCAAACACTAGTGACAGATTTTCTGTCCCTAATAGCGAGTTTCCAAAGGATTTGTCAGGGATTTCTGCTTATCCTAGAGGTGTACTTCTTCCCCAGGTCACACCTCTTCCTCATTCGCATCTCTGTGAGAGTCCTCCCATTGGGCAGGCAGCCAGTCTGTATGGAGTACCTCCTCAGTTTTCATTTTATCACCCCTACTTTGTTCCTGGACCTCACTATATCCCCTCAAGGTAATGCAACCCTTCATTTCAATCCCATTTAGATTAAGTGCTAAAAGGCTTTAACTTTCAGAAAGCAGATGGAGCATTCAATTCTTGAGACAAGAACACAGTGCCCGAAAGGAAGGGTGCTCTTCTCTTCCCATGACTTCTGTGTGCTGGGACCTGCTTTCCTGAGGCTGCTTGTAATATATGCATAGTTACTGAAGGCTCTGTGGTATGATTTTAATAATTGCCATTCCCAAGCCCACAGTAAATAGAAGTACCTTCTCTCTACTTCGTGCTCCTAAGTGCAGTTAGATGCACTACATCTGATCTCTATGGAAAAGTATTAGGTAAATGTATTTTCAAAATGATCAGATGCAATTAAGTAGTTTGTGTGAGATGTCTCCCAGCTACTTGTATGATTGTAGCTGTCATAACTACCAATATTTCTGAAATCTGGTCCTGTGGGAAATGTCTTCAGAAATATTACATCACCAGTAATTACTAGTTCATCCTTGGCAGCCTCTGGGTAGTAAATCAGAGATCACCTAATCAAAGTATTTACAAACTAACACATGTAATACCCTGTGAGTATTTCTTACACTTTTCTATACCGTTCTCAGTATGTACATTAATGTACTGCAGGCTTACTTGATTCTGAAATCATGACATTCCATGACATTAATTAATACTTTAAAACAATGGGGTTTTGATTGTTTTTAATGTCCTGCCTGTGTTTACTATGAAGGGATGCATATGCAATCCTTGCTAATATAGAGTCTGTGTATGACTCTTCTTACGAAACCAGTGTTTAAATAAGACATGGCTCTAAAGTATGTGTACTTTGATGGTTTCATCTAAACTAACTTAGACTAACATTCTGATTCTCTCAGTTGGATGGAAGTCCAGCTATCTGAAGGACTACTTTCAATCTCTTTCTTTGCAGCACGTGCCCATTCAGCCGTCCCCCTTTTGGCTGCGGGAATTTCTCCAGCTCAGTGCCTGAATGCTTTGGCTTCTATGGAGATGGCTACCAAAAGCAGGAGATGAAGTTTTCACCTCTGTACAGAGATTACTCTTTCAGGGGACACCCAGGGGGAAGAATACGTGAAGACTCACGTGTCTGCACAGACCTCGAAGAAGTGACCTATCACAGCAGCCACAGTGAGGAGGGTTGTATTAGTATTAGCCCCATATCACAGCTAGACACTGGAGCACTTGAGAATGATTTGCCAGCCACCCCACCTTCTCCTTCCAGCATCCAGCTAGTCAATGTGACTGACAGCGAGGACGAAGAAGAAAAAAAGGTGTTGCAAGAGCTGTGATGTTTAAACCAATTGATAATCTAAGAAATTGTTACAGAAGAGGAAATAAATATTTTCGTCACTACCGTCTTCAGAGAATGTGTTCAATGGGAAACCCATGTACCCTGAGCAACCCGTGCATGTCAGTTTGAGGACTCTAATGAACTGCTTATACTTTGAGAGGTCACATACAGGTTTGGGAATGCCTAAAAGCTTTCTGAAGTTTCACCTGGTTCGTCAGGGCATTGCTTGGACTCTGGCTTAGGAAAGCACTTACACTCAACTCAACTCAAGATATTTGACAACATTTGACAAAGATATTTTCCTGAGGAGAGATATATTTAAGCACATCCTTTTATTGCTCCTCTGAATTAGAATACTGCCTTTTATTGTTTACAGATGTTCTAATGGTATTTTCCATTTTTTTTTAGGTGTTACTTTAGGAATTTTAGCAATAATTCTGGCTGCAGTAAAATAGCCAAGAATGATTCTGCAGTGCTTTTTGTTGTTACTTTCATGAGACAGTTTTGTTTAATTTGGTTAATTTTTACTGTACTCTGCGTTTGTAGTACGAATGTTATATAATGCACTGATAATATAGATCAGTTTGAGTCACATCTTAGTCTGTAACCAGTTCCATTAAGGAAAACGGATTGCCCAGAAGGTAGGTGGATGTGTGGTAGAACCTAGAGAGGGGAAAATGGATGGGATCCAGTCCTGTGACTGACATTAGTGGACTGTGAGTTGATCTCTGAGTGTCGTTATTACTCTAAAGAATTCTCCAGAGAATTCCAAATTCTCTGAGGAATATCAAAGGCTTTTAATAGAGAGGGTGTCTGTGCTGAACTCAGAGTGAGGAAATTCAAAAATTTTTGGCCCAAATATGTAAATAATGTTACAAACGTTTATGTTTCTGTATTGCGAAAAGGAGGTCGTTTCTGTCCAGGAATTCTGTTATCTTTCTGTTGTTACAGTTGAATAAACTCACCTGAGTAATGTTCCCCTAGTTTTTCATTTTAACATGAACATCAAACTGATTTCAGTGTCGGTTGTATCCTGTGTTTTACTGTGAAGCCAGAACTGTGTGTGAGCTTCAGAGGGGTGAGGCATTCAGCATCTGCTGTGCTGGGTCCACCTGCTAATGAGACCTCATTGTTCATTTAGGAAAACACAGTATCATATCCTCCATGGAAATCTTCTCTGTTTAATACCACAAAGACAATAAGAAGAGAAGACTGAAGCTTAATATATCCTGAATTTCTTAATTGGAAACAAAATGTAAGACTGATTTTTCCTGCCTTTCCTGTTAGAGCTGAAGGCCTGTATCAGACATTCAGGATCTGTGTCTGCAGATACAGCATTAGACCCAGCTCTCTCTGCTGTTTACCTTAATCCAGACTAAAAATCACCTTGCGTGCTTCAGAGTTTGAAAAATATCAGATGAAGATATTCTAAAGATATTTGGGGCTGTGAGCAACCTGGTCTAGTGGGAGGTGTCCCTGCCTATAGCAGGGGATTGGAAATAGATGGTGTTAAAGGTCCCTTCCAATCCAAACTAGTCTACGATTCCAAAGTTTGTTTTCTCTTGCTGCTGTAACAACTTTTAGTAGTCTGCTTCTCATTGTGGTCACTGCCTGTGGCTACACTTTTGCAGAGATTCCTTTCCTCTCCAGGGTTATTGGACATTTTTATGGGCTGGGGTCATTAGAAGTCCTTATGTCATTAAACCTGTTCCCCTTCTTATGGGCATTTGCTACTTTGGTACAAATACTATTGGAGAAGTTTAAAGTCAGCGTGGAGAAAACTGCAGTGCTTTAATATACAAATATAGTCAGAAGGATGCAGCATGTCAGCATATACTGATCTGTGCACTTCTTTGTAGGAATTAAGCAAAATTAGCAGCAGTGGCCCACCCTTAAATAGAAAAAAAAGGAAAGAGCACTTTGACAGTATTTCAGTAACAGCACATTGGGACAAGCCCTTGTGTGGTACCTGATCATCTTACAGTGCTTCTCCCTCTTTGGCAGGGCAGCTGCTCTAAGGCTCTCCCAAGTATTCCTGCTATCCTGCTCGGATGGTGGAAAAACAAAGCTAATCAGAAGATCTTTGCTCAGCCAAAGCTGTTCCCAACTCTTAAGGCCTGAAATAATGAAGTTACATCACCGGTTCCCTTCACCGATTCACAGCCTTCCTCCTTTGATCATTTCAAGTGATCTGAAAGAGGAAAAATGTTCTGAAAAAAAGGAAGATTTCACATGCCACTCAAGTTAGCCAAGATGTTTACCATTGGCACATCAGAAATGCTGAGGTTACACGTGACAGCATGTCATCCACATTCACTCACTACGATTTTTCGGTAACACTTTCTCCAATTTCAAGAGGCTTTCGATGGCGGTTCATGATCAGCCTTCCTTATTTCTGAACAGAGAGTTCAAACGAAATTTTACGGAGCTCTCAGTTTGATACACACCCGAATCATTCCCTGTGTAAGTCTGTTTCCCTAACAGGCTTCTCTCTGAATCTGTCTTTCTATGAGCTTAACTCTTAGTATATTTCTAAATTACAACAAATGGAATGGGAGAAACATCACCTTTTGCCCTGCAGCCAACCTGAAGAGTTAAACCACCTTGCATAGTGCAAAGCTAGTGCAGAAACCCCGCTGCAAAAGCGTGCTCAGCAGCTCTGGCCAGGGGAAATGGAAATCATTTCCAAACCTACAGAATGACTGCACCCCCCACCCTGTGTGCTGCGTAGGAGCTGCTGCTAATAGGTACATCCTTGCCTTGGTCACAGGAGATGTCACGGACAGATAAGGCACCAGAGAACAGACTGCCACATTCCCAGCTGATACTTCTAACCAGGCAATTGGGACTGTGGGGGAAATGAGTCTGTGCAATTCCCAGATAACAGAAAGCTTGATCTCGCTCTGTGAATCAAGCAAACAACCCATTAAGAGCTTTTTGAAGAAGTGGGTCCAGGGCAGGATCTGAGTCATGCTGTGCCAGAGGCAGGTAGCATTGCAGCATCTGAGCACAGCTAATAAGGCTGGGATACCCTGCAGCTTTCCATGCAACAATGCCTGAGCAGTGTAAGCGATACAACATATAAATATAGATTAAACTATTTATAACGATAGCACAGTATGTGGTTATATTTTTATAGGGGGACTTACTGCTGATTATAAATTAAGAGATCAATTCTCACATTACTAAATCCAGAGATAAAAATATCACTATACAGCAAATGCAAATGCTGCATATACTTTATTTTTATGACACTTGAATTATAACCAAAATCACAAGCAGCTAAGCAGCAGTTATTGGCCCAACTATTGCAGCAATTTTAAGATACATTCTTTTTATTTCATTTTATGCTTTTTTGAGCTGATCTTTTTGAGAAATAGGTGGAACAGCCCCGTGAAAATTTGTCATACTGGGAAGATCTGTGATCCTTCAGTGCAAGTGTAGGTATTCCTCATCAAATATTATTTTTCTCTGGGCAGAAATATCATTCAGGGATGAAAGCAGAATAGCTGTCTAAATTTGGGTTACATTTTTACTTCTTTGTAATGAAAGCATTGGCAGTAGTGCCATTGTTTTCTTCTCTATTACAGGCAGCTACAAATTAATGGGAGAGTTCACAGAAAGCTCTGGGTTTCCTTTCAAGATACTCGAGGGGATTCAAAGAGCTGATTTGGTCCCTGGATTTCCACCCTGAGAAACTGTGAATTATTTGTGCAAAGGACATTTGTGACCTGTTTGTGGTGAGTATGAGGCCATTTATGGCACAGCATTTCCTGTGGGCACAATGATAGGAGTCAGCAAAGATCTTCAGTTAAAGAAAGCCCAGTGGTTTTCAATAGTATATATAAGCCACTGGACCAGAGGCAAAATCTATTACTATTATTCTTAATTGTAAATGCATTATTCATTTCCTTTTGGCCTTGTTTACCAGTTTGCTCTGCAATGTAGCCAGGTGCGGATTCTCCCTGTTGGTTATGCTGGTTTTCCTTCCTGGTGGTTCACTGACACAGACACATGAAGCACAGAGATGAATGGAAAGGGTGTTGTGGATAACGCAGACCAATGGCTGAAGCATAACGCAATGACCAACAGGCAGTGCTTTTTCGTGTTGTTCAGAGCCAAGCCCACAAAAAATGCAATCATCCTCCCTCACAGCCTCGTTGGTGTAACTGCACCTTGAGATGGCAGTGACTGTGCTGTTAACCAGCTCACGCTCTGCCAGGCTGCCAGCACCTTTCTCACTGATATCCCTGTGCCAGTGTCACCGAGCCTGGGTCAATGCTGCCCAGCAATGGGCTTATCCTCATGGCGGAGAGCTGGCAAAGGGATGGTGCAGGGAGTCAGCCCATGGGTCAGCCCTGAAGGGTGCAGAAGAAGCCAGGGATACTCGCTTGGGAGCTTCACAGAATGAGCAGGGGCCATGAACTGTGTGTGCTCCTTCCACAGCCCCTTTGTCCGCCTTAAGGGGAGAGGAGCTGTGAATCCGGTTTTGCTTCTGCAAAACCAGCATAAAATCACAGCTGCCCTCAGCTGCCCACTGAGATAAGGAATTTAGGATGCTTTAGGCAGCATGGGTTCAGTCATGAAGAGTTTGGTTGGGTTATGTAATAAAGAATCAATATCATAGCCCAGCTCCTTTGGGAGCTGCTTGAAGGCGATGCGCCTGCTTCCTTCCAGCACGTCCTCCCTTCTTGCTGCCTTTGCGACGGCTTTCTGTGCTGACAAAGGAGGGGAGGAGGGAGGGACAGGAGAGTCTTTGCATGAAAGCAGCCCGAGCTCCCACCGAGTACCCGGGGCTGGAGTGGGGAGAGGAAGAAACGGGCAGGAGCTGTAGGGCGGTGTTGCGGGTGGGAGGAGAAAGCCGGACCGGGAGCTTCTATATATGAGGGGTGCGGTGGCGAGCCGAGTCCAGCCTGGAGCCATGCGGGGCCGGGGGCTGCTCTGCGGCATCGCCCTCTCGCTGCTGCTGCAGCCGCCGCGCAGTGAGTGCGGGGACATCGGGATGGGGACC